AATAATATTTTTAAAAAATACTTAACACATAGTAGGTACTATATAAATGCTTTGAGAATGAAGGAAAAACAGCAAGAGATCTGTCATTTTAAAGCCCTTCATAAAATGTTTTCAACTTATTTTTCTTTTTTTAAAGGATTCACTATAAATTATATTGAACATGAATACAACCAAATGAACTTTTTAAAGCATTTTTAAAGTGTTGTGAAGTGTTTTACTGATATTCTTTTCTTTTTTACATCCCTGCCATGTCCTATTAATCTCCCATCCTATTGCCTACAGAAGTTGGAACAATGCACTAAGAGGAAAGAGTCCAAAGAACACATCATCCAGAAGAAAAAAAAATTTTTTTCTCCCTGCCAAGTGTAGAGATATGGCAACTGAGTACAATTCCAGATTAGAAATGTAAACTCATTTTCAAAATGTTACAGAGGATATTGGTGGAAGATTATTAAAAGTAGATCTGCAGAAAGCTTGGCATAAGATCCAACTAATAAAAATAATCTCAAGAGTATAGAAGGAGGACAACAGATATAAAATGGAACAGATGACAATGGAACAACCACATCTGGACTTTAATACTTCGATCCTCAGATCTGCTATATGAGGAAGTGGACGTAGCATTAAAGAAAATGAAAACAGGAACCAGACCATGTACATGCAGAGGAAATCTGTGATGGCGATGACACAACTTTGAAGATATGGAAGATATTTTCAAGATATCTGCAAGAAGCAAAGATACTATTGGTTCAAAAAATAATCTCAGACAATATTATGATCACCACCACCCTAGACCATCAAGTAGACATTAGAAAGTTCAATCGACATGTCTAGTTTCTCATCTCTATAAAATCTTAATGAGTCTAATCTATACAATTATTGAGGATGTCCTATATAAATGAACAGGCAAGATTTTACAAATAGTTTGCAACATATATCTTCACAATCACAAACTGACCAAAATGGCATAGAAGATATAAATTTGTACTGTATTCTTTTTAAGAAACCATAAAAAGTATATGACTCAGTACAGCAAAATGTAGCCTTAGGGGTTCTCTTCCAACAAAGTATTTCAGATGCATATGTTAAAAACATAGATGATGCTTTGATGCACCCACAGAAATGAATGATTGTTCATTGATCATCTGATAATCTGTGTTGTTAGGCTAAAATGTGGAAATATGTGCTTGCCAAGGTGGTTTGCCATTGCCATATTGAATGTCCTTCTCAGTTTCCAAACGGAAAAGGGATTCCCTATAGACAATGATGTCTTCCAGATGTTCCTGTTTGTACTTGGCATTGGCTGAATACTACACAGCCTCCTCAGCATGTTTTACAATCTTTTAAAAGAGATTATTCTGTCCACACAATAAAGACCAAATGAATGATCACTTTTTTTCTAGATGATGGCATACAGTTGAATGGGGAACCCCATTAAGTTAGTCCATCAACACATATATATGTATTGGACAGGTATTACAGAAGAACAATGAGCTGGACCTAGACCTGAATAGAAGGAAATCATCCTGGATGACATTGGAAATCATGTAGCATTTTGTATTTCTGACATAAAAATCCAAAATTCATCTTTTTAAGACCAATATTCTTCCACGGCTGCACATCAACAGAAAATTATTATCTCTAAAGAACCAAAATTGCAGATTACCCAAAAGGCAATGGAGAGGCAAAGTAGGATACCTCATATTATCAATGCTGATTTGCATGGAAAAAGTGGAAACCAGGATATATGTGATGGAAGGAAGATATGGTAAATTAAAGTGTTAGTTCCTCCCAAGGAATCAGAGTTAGGAAACTTCGAGGAGTGAGCCAGATGGGAAATGCAATTTTTTTTTCCAAAATAAGTGACACCTTAACTGACTCAAGTGGGCTACTAGTTGGTGTTTATTTACCTTGTATGGCTCCTTAAATAGTTGTGGCATATCATTGGAAATGTACAATATTGTGGCAAGAGCAGCTGACAGAATTTTCAAGCATAGAGGCAGACCACTTGGTAAATACTAAGCACTGAGCCTAGAATCAGGAAAACCTAAGTTCAAATCCAGCCTCAGACACTTACTAGTTGTGTGGCCTTGGGCAAGTCACTTAACCTCTCTCAGCCTCAGTTTCCTCAATTGTAAAGACAGAATAAGAATAACACTTATTTCCCAGAGTTGTTGTAAATATCAAATTAGATAATATGTGTAAAGCACAGTGCCTGGAACATAGTAGGTGCTATATAAAATGCTAGCTATTACTACTACTACTATTACTACTAGTTAGAAGTCCAGTATTAGTTAGACGAAAGATGGCAAGAAGGTTCTAGGCAGGTAGGTGACTCAGTCTGGGCAAGTCACTTAATATGTATCAGCCATTTAGTTTCCTTATCTATTAAAATGGGGATGATAATAGCTAGCACCTACCAACCTCACAGGGTTGTTGTGAGAAATAAATTTGTAAAACGATTTGCAAACCTTAAAGTACTATATAAATGTTGGTTAGTCAATAAACATTTATTAAGTGTCTACTGTGTGCCAGGTGCCATGCTAAACGTTAGGGATAAAAAGAAATGTAAAAAACCCGCCTCTGACCTTAGGGAGCTCACCATCTAATGGGGGAAGACAACACATAAAAAGAAGCTGAAAAAAAAAGGAGAGGGAAGAATCTGGTTGTAGTTGGGGATTTTCAGCATGAGAGCATGCTGAAATATAGGAAGAGCAGCTAATTGGAAAATGATGATGAGATGGTTGCCGTGGGATACCACTCTCTTATGGTTCCTTCTCAGTCTCCTTTGCTGGATTCTCATCCAGGTCATTCCCACCAACTATAGGTGTCCTACAAGCCTATGTCCTAGGCCTTCTTCCCTTCTTCCTTTATCCTACTTCATTTGGCGATCTCATCAGCTTCCATGGATTGAATTATCATTTCTATGCTGATGATTCTCAAAACTACCTATCTGGCCTCTAGACTCACATCTTCAACTGCTTTTCAGACTTGTTGAACTGGGTGTTCAGTAGACATCTTAAGCTTGACATGTTCAAAACAGAACTCACTATCTTTCCCCTTAAACCTTTATTTCAAACTTCCCTCTTAGTGTTGAGAGTACCACCATCCTGTTCTCCCAGTCTCCCAAGCTTACACCCTCAGTGTCATTCTTGACTCCTCACTCTCTCACCCCCCATATCCAATCTGTTGCCAAAGCCTGTCAATTTCACCTTTGCAACACCTCTTGAATACATGGTCTTCTCTCTCCTGATACTGTCATCATTCTGTTGCAAGGCCTTCATTACTTATACCTGTACTATTGCAATAGCCTACTGGTAACACCTGCCACAAGTCTTTCCCCATTCCAATCCATTCTCTTTTCAACCACCAAGGTGATTTTCCTATGGTACAGATTTGATCATGTCACTATACTCAATAAACTCCACTGGCTCCCTATCAAATACAAAATTCTCAGTTTGATGTTCAAAGCCCTTTAAAAACTAACCTCCTTGTGACTTTCCAGGCTTATTACACCTTACTTATTACACCTCCCTGACATGTACTCATTTCTTCAGTGACAGTGGCCTCCTTGCTGTTCCACAAAAAAGGCATTCCATCTCTTGGATCCAGGCAAGTTCTCTGGCTATCCCCCATGCCTGGAGTGTTCTCCTTCCGTTTCTCTACTTCCCGGCTTGACTTTGTTTCCTTGAAGTCCCAACTAAAGTCCAGCCTTTGATAAGAAGGCTTTCCTGATCCCTCTTAATTCTAGTGTTTTCCCTCTATTAATGATTTCTTATTTATTCTATGTGTAGCTTATTTGTATATTTTTGTTTGCTTATTGTCACCGCCATTAGATTGTGATCTCCTTGAAGTCAGGGATTGTCTTTTGCCTGTTTGTATCCCTGGAATTTAGTACACTGCCTGGCACATAGTAGGCAGTTAATAAGTCCTTATTAACTATTTGAGTTTCCTCATTTGTAAAATAGGGATAATAATAGCATCTAAAGGTTGTTGTGAGGATAAAATATTTGGAAAGCACTTTGCAGACTTTAAAGCTCTATATAAATGCAAGCTGTCATCGTTGTTGTCATTGTCTTCCTCCTAGCCATCATTGTTAGGTAACTTGAGTGATGGCGAGTAGAACATGGGACAGTCTTCTCTGGCTCTCACATTCGGAGAGGTGGTGACCCAGAGAATCTAGCTAGGATGGGGTACTGGGTGAAGGTAGGCCTTGGGGGTTAACATATTGAAATTGGATAAGGAAGTAGGGGTGAATGAGCTCTGTAAGCTGCCAGTGGAATTCAGGGATAGCAGTGGAAGATAATTGTGTTGGGGGAGAGATCAAAGTTTACCTGCCAGACATCAGCACCATGACGCAAAGCCTAATTGGCGTATCCTAGTTATACTTTGCTACATGCACTTCATGTAGGGTAGAGGAGACATTATAGACTTAGAAATGTTAACCCATTTCCCTTATAGCTACTTGTGTTTCTGGGCACCATTTTCAGGTCAAAAATAGAAAGGACTGCCTCATGCAGTATAGCCCCCTCTCATTAGAGGGATTTAGGCAAAGATGAATACTGTACTTGTAGCGGATGTTATAGAAGGAGATATTATAGAGTTTTGTATAACAAAAAGGGATTTGTATAAAGATGTCCTTTAAGATCCTTTCTAGCTTCTGGATTCTCCATTTCTATAATGTAATAGATTTCTTTTAATTATCACGAGGTGATAATTAGGTGGCGCAGTGTATTATAGAGCATCGGCCCTGGATTCAGGAGGACCTGAGTTCAAATCCGGCCTCAGACACATAACACTTACTAGCTGTGTGACCTTGGGCAAGGCACTTGACCCCATTGCCTAGCAAAAACAAACAAACAAAAAATTTTCACAAGCCCCTGGGGACCAAAGTGGTGGACCAAAAAGCATAAATAGGGAGTCTCCTTGGTTACAAAAACTGGAGGTGACATCATGGTGACACCACAACAGAGTCCAGGGCCCACCCTGAAAGTTTTTGTGCCTGGGTCCTTTCTATGAGGAAGTGGTCCAGACTGATTTTTCTTTTTTACATATACTGTGTGACTGGATAACAAGCAGATCACCAGGGATTTTCAAGAATGGAACATGGAAACCAAGGGTAATTATTTATACTTCATATTCCCAGTTTCTTTTTCTCTTAGAATTACTGATTGAAATACTGAGGACCAAGAGTGAAGAGTTTGAAACTAGAAACTAAGATATATGTATATAGTATATATGTAATTATATATGTATGCATGTATGTATATAGAGATATCTATATCCATCAGCTTTTTCAATGTTTCCTATGTGTCAAGAGACTAGGGTACTCTCACATTAGCCAAATGGATTGGACAGAGATAGATGTAAATTTTAATTTAATGAGCCATTGTTGGGAGAAGTAAGTCTAAGACATGGTGAACTACACTCCTTAGAAGATGTCTATTCAGCCTAATGCTTGCCACATAATTTGGGCATGCATGAGATAACTCTTTCTAATCAATACTGTCATTTAACTGTGGAGGCTGGGAGCAAGAATTTCTCAAGCTCTAGTTTCCTCCTTTCCTAGCTATTGACACATTTGCCGTCAAATGCCATGCTATCTTTCTAAATCCTTTTATCCCCGGGGTTGTGTGAGTCTATAGTCTATAAGGACAGGATTCAAAGAGGTCACACTGTTGACTTAAAAAAATTTTTTTTAGCTTTTTTTTTTTTTGGTGAGGCAATTGGGGTTAAATGACTTGCCTAGGGTCACACAAGCTAGTGAGTGTCAAGTGTCAGGCCAGATTTGAACTCAGCTCCTTCTGACTCCAAGGCTAGAGCTCTATCCAGTGAGCCACCTAGCTGCCCCAACTTTTAAATTTTTCAAGTATAAAAAGAATGTCAATTTGCTTGACACTCATGATCTTATAAGTGAAATGATCTATTTCCTCTCTGTTGTAATTCTTCTCTTGCTAATTCTTCTCTTGCCCTTATCTTACCCCAGATTAGATTTTTACTTTCTTCTTTTTCTTTTAATCCTCCATTCATGTTTCTTTCTCTAACATTCTAGTTTGTTTTGTTTATAATCATTTGCCTGTCCTTTTCTCCCTGTTAAGCCACTCTCCAGGCCTCCCTTATTACTGTCCCCTCCTATTTCCCTTTAGTGTTTAATATATTTTAATACCAAAATCTATGTATATGTATGTGTTGGGAGAGAGGCTCTTCCTTGATCAAGTTACCCTTGTAAAAATATCTATAGTTAAGTGAAATAAATCCACACAGTGACCACATATGAAAGTGGATGTTTCATTTTGTAGCTTGAGACCATCATCTACCTCTTTGTCAAGGAAGTGGGTAACATGCTTCATCACCATTCCTCTGTAGTTATGGTTACTTGTTTAATTGATTAACATTCTTGAGTCTTTAAAAATTATCTTCCCAATATTGTCATTTCTTTATGTTCTCTTATTGTCATAATGAAGTGGGTACCCATCAATTAGGCAATTACTTAATTACAAATTCACGCTAGAAAGCACGGTGCAAGCACATATCTCTGCTTTACTCCATTGGGACTGGGAAAGTGTGAGAGCATTGTCCATTATCAAGAACTTGTGCAAACACGCTATTATGAAACTAGTATAAAATACTAATGAACTTCTCTGAGCAATCAAATCTTGCCATGATCTTCCCCAAGCCCTCATAACTGACAGTATCAAAGGCCTTGGTTGGATTGACAAACATTGTGCGCAGATCTCTGTTCTGCTCCTGGTAATTCTTCCGGAGTTGTCAGGCAGTAAACATCATGTTGACTGTTCCTCGACCCTTTCTGAAGCCACGCTTACTCTTGGGTAGATGACCATCCTCCAGGTGAAAGATCATCCAATTAAGGAGAACTCTGGCAAGAATCTTGCCTGCAGTGACTGAGATCCACTTACATCCCCTACCCCAATTCAGTGATCATCACAGGACAACCTATTTCCTTTTCCTTTATAGAGATGGACAATGGAGGCATCCTTTATCTCCTGTGGGATAACCTCTTCTTGCCATGTAAGCTGGAAGAATTCAGTCAGCTTTTGTATGAGCAGTGGACCTGCTTCCTTGTAGATTTCTACTGGAATGAAATCAGCACCAAGCACTTTCCCCCACAACAGGAGTCTAATGGCATTCAAAATCTCTTCTTCAGTTGGCAGTTCAGCTAGAGAGGGGTTGACTTCAACCTGAGTTATATGGTCAATGGCTTCAGCATTAGTTGATGATGGTCTGTTGAGAACACTATGGAGGTATTCAGCCCATCTCTCCAGGATCATGTGCTTATTAGTAGATCCCTGTGGCTCCATCAGAGCTGAGTAGTTGAGATGAGCCAAAGGTCTTTGGCCCATAAATAGTATTCAGGGCATCGTAGAAACACTTTTGATTGTTACTGTCAGTATCTATCAGCATAAAACTGAATTTCATCTGCCTTCTTACTGAGCCAAGAATCCTGTATCTCTCTAAGCTTCACTTGCACTGTTAAACAGTGTTAAACACTGCCTTGTTAGAGACAGACTATCTACCAGCACCATGCCAGAAAATTGAACCACTTCCATTTGAATTGTCTTAGGAAGATTCTGAAGATCACCTGGCAAGATAAGCTGAACTGCCAAACATTCAAACTCTACTGCAAAGAATGCAGCTCCAATGGGCTGGCCGTGTTGTTTGAATGCCAAATGTACATTTTCCTGAAAGATTACTTTTCAGAGAAGGCAAGTGTTCACATAAAGGTCAGAAGAAGTGACACAAGGGCACTCCCAAGGTCTCTCTGATGAACTTTGGAATCTATTTTGGTTCATGGGAGGCACTGGCACAAGACAGTCTAGCATGGTATACCTGTAACAAAGAAGCTGCTGTGCTCTATAAGCAAAGCAGAATTTCAATAGCTCAAAAGAAACTCGAGAAGCACAGATTTATAGCCATCTTCATCCCAAATGTTTATATGGACTATTTATGCGCAACCTGTGACAGAACCTTCCAAGTTCGTATATCAGCCATAGTAGGACACAATGCATACTGACCCTGCCAACATGATGTCATTTTGGTCCTCTTCAAGCATGAAGGACAACAAAGCTAAAACAAATTATTGTTTATGAATGTAATGAAATAGTAATTATTTTCTGTATTTTCTTTTGCAATGTTGCTAATATGGATATATGTTTTACATGACTGCACATGTATAATCTCTATCAAATTGCTTGTCTTTTAGAGATGGCATGGAAATAGGTGAAACTTGTTGCAAAAGAAATTCACATTTAATTGTTACCCTTCTAATTGCATTGGTTTATTTTGTGCAAAACCTTTTCAATTTTATATATTCAATATCAACCATTATATCTTCTGTGGTTCACTTTATCCCTTATTTGATCATGAGTTATTCCTTTATCCATAGTTGTAAAAGGTATTTCTTTCCCTGCACCTTGAATTTGTTTTATAATGTATGACCTTTTATATTTAAGTCATCTATATATTTGGAGGGGTTATCCTGATATTAATATGAGATGTTGGTCTAAACCTAATTTCTGCTACACTACATTACAATTTTCTGAGCAGTTTTGTTGAGTGAGCCCAACTTGTTAACAGTGAACAAATTCTTAAACATTGTTGCATTTGTAATCAATATTAATTAATGATATTTATTTATGGTTCTTCTGTGTTTTATCCCTCCCTAGTTTACATGTTAGGCCTATATTTGTCTCATAAAAGAATTTCAGTAGGGTGCTTTCTAAATTTTTTGAGAATTTGTATAGAAGATGTACTAATTGTTTTTTCAAAGTTTTATACAGTTCTACTGTTAATCTATCATTTCTCAATCTTCTGTAAATTCATCCATTTTTCCTTTGGTTGTTCCTGTACAGCTAGTTCTATTTCCTTCTCTGAGATTGAGTTATTTAAGATCTCTACTGGGTATTCTGTCAATTTGAGTATTTTATATTTTGGAAGGTATTATTTTTTTTCTTTTGCGTTCTCAGTTTTCTTAGCATATAACTGCATGTTACGTTCTGACTTTTTAAAATTTCTTCAGGTTTTATTATGATTTCACCTTGCTCATTTGCTATTTTGTTGATTCAGTTTTCTAATATCTTTTTAATCTGTTTGACTAAAGGTTTATCAATTTCGTTAGCATTTTCAAAGAACTAGCTTTTAGTTTCATTTATAATTTCTATAGTTTGGGGGTTTTCAGATTACTTGTTTCTCATTTAATTTTAAATATCTCCTCTATTGTGTTTATTTTATGTTTATTTGCTGGCTTTTTAACTTTAAAAAGTGTGTGTTTAGTTCATTAATCCTCACTTTTTTATTTTGTTAGGATATGTTTGTAGGACATGATTTTCTTCTGAGAACTGCCTTAGTTGCATCCTAGAACTTTTAGTATTTTGCTTCATCATTATCATTATATTTCACATAATTTTTAATTGTTGCTATGATTGGTTCTTTGACACATTTATCATTTAGGATTTCACTGTTAATTTTCCATTTGGGTCTGTGTCTTTTGTATGTGCTCCCTGAACAAATAACTATGACTATTTTTATTTCATTATTGTCTGAGAAGGATTTATTTGCTATTTCTACCTTTTCATATGTTTGCAATATCTCTGTGCCTTTATATATGATCAATTTTCATAAAAGTTCCATGTAGTGTAGATATACACATAACACACACACACACACACAGCTATATAGACATGTTCTTTTGCAATCCAGTAAATCTTTTAGCTCTAGTTTCTCTAGCAACTTTGTTCAGTTCCATATTTTCCCTTTGGTTTATAGAAAAATAAAGTTAGACTTATCCAAAACTGAGAGAGAGATATTAAAATTCTAGTATGGATTCTTGTAGCTCAGTTAATGTTTCCTTTATGAATTTAGATGCTAAGGTGTTTGGAGCATATACATTTAATGTTGTTGTTGGTTTGTTGTGGGGACTACATTTTTCTCTAGTCTTCATGTCCTCTCAAATCTTTCCAAAATAGGAATTATGCATGAGAAATAAAGCAATTTCAACTGTCCCCATGGTCTAGAACAACAAGAATCCAAACAAGATAAAAACTTGATGAGCCAACAGTAGAGACAGCTAATATTCCCTAACCCTTTTACAGAGTATTCACTCAGCACCCTGTAGTATTAATTACATAGACTTTCTTGAAATGGAAATTTATTGTTGTGTATTTTGAATCCTCTCTTACATTTTGCTGTGCACATGGCAATGCTTTTCTTATGTATTTAAGTTTATAATATATTTCTTTTCTTGTAATGTCTTTTCTTTTATAATATATTTCTTTTTATTTTCTTATTGTGTATTTAAGTTCAAAATAAATGAATAAAAAGAAAGAAAAAAGGATTTCTTGAAATATTACATCTAGGTTCTTTTTTTTTCTTGGTTCATGGCTTTTAGGTGTCCAATTGTTCTTAAATTATCTTTCTTCAATCTATTTTCCAGGCTAGCTGTTTTTCCTATGAGGCATTTCACATTTTCTTCTATCTTTTCAGTCTTTTGACTTCGTATTATTTATTGATGTCTTATAAAGTGAGCAGCTTCCATTTAGGCAATTCTAATTTTTAAGGAGTTATTTTCAAAAAGGTTTTTTTTAACCTCTTTGACTAAGCCAGTAGTTCTATTTTTCACATCTTTCTTTTATATTTCTCATTTATTTTCCCATTTTTTTCCTTTATTCTTCTCGTTTGTTTTTAAGATAATTTTCTTTGCTCTTTTAAAAAAATGCTTTCTGTAACTCTTCTAGGCATTCTTGTTGATCTTATATTCAGTCTGCAGTTTTCTTTGAGGCTTTGCTTGTACATATTTTCCAAGTCTTTATCTTCTTCTGGGTTTATGTCTTGAGCTTCCCTGTCATCATAGTAGTTCTTTATGGTTGGGTTCTTTTTCATTTATTCATTTTTCCAGCCTGCTTCTTGACTTTGGACCTTATATGAGTGCTGGGCTCTGCACACTTTGTGTGTGTGTGTGTGTGTGTGTGTGTGTGTGTGTGTGTGTAAGGAGAAGATGTCTGCCCTGAGCTTCTGTCTTTTTGCATCGTTTTGATGCTTTTCCATCTCATTCTGGGGGGCTGCTTGTTTTCAGTGCTCACAAATTAGTGTGATCCAGGGAGAGGACTACATATTGCCCTCCTCATCTGAACTCTGCAAGTTCCTGACTCAGGTTTCGGTCTGTGAGCTTGTGTATGATTAAGTTTCAGTAGGTGGCTGCTAGACTCGGTCATTATTAGCCTGTTGGGAGATTCTTCAGTCTCAGAGGATTGAACTGCTGGCTCTACTTTGATCTAGGGCTGCTGCCCTGATTATTCCACTGAGGTTTTTATGCCGGGCTAAAGGCCAGTACTGAGTTGTTGCTCTGTCCTTGGGCTCAGAGCCACACAGCTATGTTTCCAGAATTTGTTCCTTACTTAGTACATCACTAGACTCCATGCTCACTTACTACTTCGCCTCTCCACCCTGAATCTATGACCTGGAACTGGATAATGGGCAACTGAGCTGACAGATTGTGCAGGAATTCCTTAGGATCTCTTTCTGTGCCAGTGCTACCTGCCGTGCTGCCTGTTTTGGCCTCCTTTCTGTCCCTGGTTACTAAAATGCTCCCTGCTACCACTGTTGCCTCACCTACTCCTGAACAATTCATGCCCCAGGACCCATAGACCTCTTTCTGTCTCCCTAAATGACTCTAAGCTGGAAACATGACTATGAGGTTTTTTTGTCTTCCTTGCTCAGAATTTGATCTAGCCTGTTTTCTATGTTGCTCTGGAGGAGGTGTGCTGGGTGAGCTAGGCAAAAATGCTTCCTCTCACTTGACTCAGAGTCACTTGACCTTGACTCTGCTCCTAAAGTTTTTCAATGAGCTTTGAGTCAGGTAAGTTCTCAAGCCACTAAAACATGTTTATTTCCATTTTTGGATAAATTTCTTAACCTTTTGTGATGTACAGGTCATGTTTTATTCCATCTCTGATGATTTCTGGAACAATTCTACTCGATAAATAGGTTCTATCATAATGAGAAAGTATTTAAGGAACAAAACACATAATTCACAGTTCAAATTTAGAAAGCTTCTTTAAATATATCTCCTTTGTTTTTGCCCAGGACAACCCAGAGCACCACAGAAGAAACAAATAACAGCAAGGAAGAAGAACCACCTGACCAAGCAGTATCACAACAGGAGATGTCACTGATCTTATCAATGCCACAGAATACTGGCATGAGGACACCACCAGGGAGGATGGAGAGAGAGTCCCCGTCACATGCAGAGGACAAATGTCCTCCTTTCTCTTTGGAGACTGAACTGTTGACTGGACCACAAAGTGCTATAGAGATAGGTAGGAGTCCTGTGTTTTTCCTCATGCTCCTATCTCCTCATTCTTAGGTTTCTTAGAATGGAAAATTCTGTTGTGGCTGGATTTATATAACCAAATCAGATGTGATTATTGAATAGCTGATCAGATGTCAAGACTCGGTGGTTTGGGTAGTTATAATGACCCACAATAGCCCCCAATTACTAAATCCCTCTTCTGTTTACTTGTTCTACTTTATATCCTGAACTAGAAAAGCCATAATTGTTTTGGATTGGACCTAAGATTCTAGAAGGCTCTACCAATGCTGATCAGCAATGGTTCTGCAATTTAGTCTTAGAGTTGTCTGGAAGCACTGACCACTTAAATGACTTGCCCAGGGTCACACAGGCTATGTGTAGCAACCATAATTTGATGAACTATGAATATACACAGAAATATTCTGTGATGTTTAATGTTTGTTAGTTTTTTTTAACTTTGGGTTTCAAAAGATAGTTCTGGTAAACTGATACCATTTGGCTGTTTCTTTGGTCATTCCTATGAAGGCTTTCTTGCCGCTTCTGTCAATGAGAACTGCACTTTAGGAATATTACTCTGGCACCGGTGTATTGGGTTGGGGGGAGGGAGGAGGGTATGGACAAGACTACAGGTAGGGAGACCAGTTAAGAAATTATTGTAATTCTTACTTTGTGCATGTTTTACCTAGGATGAAGGTGAGAAAACCTTTCATCCTTCAAGCAAAAATTTTAAAGTGTAATTCTTGATAAAGTTAAGTATAGACAACATTAACAAACATGATCCTTATAGAATGAGCATTTAAAATAAAAATGTGTAAGTACAAGTTGATAACAAGGAGCACAAAGCTCTGTTCAATAAACATGATTTAAGAATATATTTCACTTTAGTTTAAGAAGAGACTGGGAAAGGAGGACGGAAACAGAGTAGAGAAGAGACACACATACAGAAAGGGAAAGACTCGGGGAGAGACATCAAGGCAGAAGAGAATACATAGAAAAAAGACACAGAAACAGAGAGATGGACAAAGGGAGAGTTTTGATGAAGCATTGCCTCTCCAGATTCTAGAACATATTATTGAAAGGATGATTATTGACTAGAAAAGAGAGCAGTCATTCTCCCCACCCCCCCAAAAAAACCCTACTAGAATGGCTTTATGAAGTCATGTCACACTAGCCCCCACATCCTTTTTGAATTGGACTGGTAGATTGGGAGAATACCGTAGATATATTTTATTTAAACGTTAGGAAAACATTTAATAGCCTGTTGTGCTATTCTTATGGAAAAGATGGAAAGACAACACTACAATTATGTGCATTTCGAACAGGCTGGATGACTGAACAAAGGAACAGTGTCACTTTGAAAGCAGGTCTCCACTGTTAAGTTTGTTATGGAGGATTTCTTTTTCAGGTATGGGTTGAGCTAGATAGTCTCTGAGATGTCTTAGAACTCTGAAAAGCTGTGTTTCTGTGATTTCAAAGGTTCTTTCCATTTTGAGATCTTTGATGCTAATTCTTGTTCAATATGAAGTTTGAACTGATATTCACCATCCCTTATGACCCCACCTTCCCCTTATACTTCATCTGGACTATTTCCCTCAAGTGACTAAAGCAATTTACTTCAAGCCTGGCCTTAGTTATAAAGATTTCAGGGGCACTGTGAATATCGTCTTGCCTTCAAAACATTTCCCTTACCTACTCACTAATGCCAAAAATAGTTTTTAACAAGAAAGAAAGCCTTGAGTGATAAACCACTAAAAGTGTAAATCGTGGAGAAGAGGTAGCACTTTTATACACAAGTCTTAATTCAAAAATAAATGTCCCTTTTTTTGCCTGAGATGTTTTCTACCTTGGGAAATTGGGGTTAGTGTGGTGGTAAAAATTTCATGATTTTGCTTAGGTCTGACCTTATTTATTTTTAAATGGCCATAATGAGTGTTTCATATCCTATCAGTAAGCATTTGCCTAGAATTTTACTTGGTCAAGAAAATGAGCTTGAAATATTAATTTTATAACAGATTTTAAATAAAATCAGCAGAAATTTAAATTAAGGATAATATAAATGTTAATGGAATGGAACAGAAGAAGAGTGGTGGTTGTTTTTTTCCCTCCAGATGTTCATGTTGCACAGGTCTCTATATAAGACACATGTTCTATTTACTGACTCTTTTTCTCCTCTTTGGTTTCTATTGGGTCCCATTGGTTTTGGAGGTGGATGTTTTAACTTCATTTTTTTTCTTTTTGTCTATCTCCCTTTTTCCAGCTATTAATAAATTGTGTTATCTGATTTATATCTGATTAATAATGTCAATTCTGTTGTCCTAGAGCCAGATCTGTCCCGTAAGAGGGTCTTATTTCACACATTTGCAATAATGTTGAAAAATTTTTCTCACATAATATTCTCTCAGTAACAACTCTTTCTCCTTCCCTTCTTCCCTTTTCAGGGAGTGGGGACAACATGAAAGGAAGCTCAAACCTCAGTTCAAGCCAAGACCTAAATCCTCAGCTATCTGTATCTGAATTAAAGTAAGGAGGTGCTTTTTAAAGGGTATCTGAAATCAGTTGAACCAACTTTGTGATCCAAGTACTGCTTATCTTGAATAGGGTATATTGGCTAATTATTTTTTAAATGAGCAAAAAATCTACCTTTTCTTCCTCCTGTGTCATCCCCCCCCCCAAAAAAAAAAACCCTTATAACAAAAATGAACATGCATAGTCAAGCAAAAGAAACTTGTTCATTGGCCATATGTGTGTGTCTGTGTATATATATACACATATAAAAATATCTGTTTACATCTATGTATTGTGTATACACACATACATATATTTCTTTCTCTATTTCTATCTCTATCTATCTCAGCCTGCACCCTGAATCCATTACCTCTCTGAGAGGTGATTTGCACATTTCATCATGAGTCCTCTGAAATTATACTTGGCCATTGAGTAGATCAGTTCTTAAGCCTTTCACAGTTGTAAATAGGATAATTTTAGAGCTTGCATAGATAAAGGATTAAGTCTTGTTAGGGAATTAAATATCCTTTGTTTTTAGATCATTTTCATTTCCAAATATTTCCCTCTTCCCCCTCTACTTGGAGTTGTCCCTTGTGGTAAAGACTAAAAAGAAAGAGGGGAAGAAAAAGGAGGGGGAGGGAGCAATTCCCTAAAATTCACCAACACATCGACTGAATCTGATATAGTATTCTATACCTGGAGTTCCCTTCAAAGTAAAGAAAGTCTTTGGAATCAGAGCTTCCAAGAAAAAATCAGGCCAGGGCTTAGACAGGAAGTGGGTTCTACTTCTCGTACTAACTTTCTTGATGACCCTGGGGGCAGGGGACTTCCTCTGTCTGGGCCTCATTTTCCTCATCTGTAAAATTAGGACCTACTCAATTATCTCTACAGTCTTTTCAGCTCTTTAATTGAGCAGTATAGTTCAGTGATAGGAGAATTGGCTCTGGACTCCTTGATTCAAATCCTGCCTCTGACACTTTCTACCTATTTGATCTTGAGCAGATCATTTTACTTCCCCGGGCCTCAGTTTTCTCATCTATAAAGTGAGCTGGTTAGATTAGATAGTTTCTGAGGACACTTCTGGCTCTACATCTGTGATCCTATAATTGTATTATCCGTACTTTCCCATTGCATTACCAATCATTGTCATGCCCTCATCAAAGAAGGGGCTGTGCTCAATGAGCAAAGCGGAATTTCAGTAGCTCCAAAGAAACGAGAGATGCACAAATCTAGAGACATTTCTGTCCCAAATGTCAAAAGTGGATTATTTGTGCCTGACCTGTGGTAGATCCTTCCAATCATCCACAGTTGAACCAGTACACTGTACCTTGACCCCAACGTTATGATGTCTTCTTTGTCCTCTTCGAGTATGAAGGATGAACAATAGCCAATCATTGTGAAGGAAATGTATCCTAAGGAATTAAACTAAGGAAAAAAGGATTGCAGCAGAACAGGGAAGTGGGTCACTGGAGGGAAGAAGGGTCTACTATGATGAGAAATATTTAGTGGGATAAAGGTCTAATTCCTAATTCAGAATTTAGAAAGGGCCTTTACAATATGCCTGCTTTCTCTTCACCTAGTAGAACTCAGGGTCTCAAAGAAGAAGCCCAGAACAGCAAGGAAGAGGAAATCTCTGCCCAAACAGCATTACACTTGGAGATGTCATTGTTCATGCCAATGCAAGCAATTATTAGGAAGTTGACATCACGAGGGAATGTGAGGGTTCCCCGATCCTCCAAATGTACTCCTTTTCCTGTGAATCTTGGGTGTTCTTCTGGCCCACAGAGTGACACAGAAAAAGGTATGGATCCTTTCTTTTTCCTTCTGCTCGCATCCCTTCATTTTGGAGGGGAGGAATCTATTGAGACCAAGGGAAAAGTCTGAAAAGGGTTTTGGGTTGGAAAAAATAATAGTATTTCTTTTACAGAAGAACTAAAAATTTCTTATAGAGGAACTAAAGAACTAAAAAGGAGGTTTTAAAAATAGTCTGCTACAAGGCTTAGTCAGTCAATATACATTTATTAAGTGCCTACTCTGTGCCAAGCATTGTGCTAAGTGCTGGGGATACAAAGAAAGGCAAAAAATAGTCCCTGTTCTTAAAGAGTTCACCATCTAATGGGGAAGACTACATGTAAACAACTGTGTATGAACTACATATATAAAAATATATGCATATGCATATGTGTGTGCGCATACAGGATAAATTATAGATTATCAACAATAAGAAAGCACTAGCATTAAGGGAGATTAGGAAAGGTTATAATTATTCATAATTTTCCTAAGTTTGAATCAACATTACTTTTCAAGTACATATATATGTATGTATATGTGTATATACAATTTATACTTGTGTATGTACAACATAATCTTTTGAATATATTGTTGTAACATCTATGCTAATATTTTATTAAATAATTTTGTGTTCATATCCTTTAGGGATATTAGTTTATACTTTTTTTTCTCTGCTTTGTCTCTCCCTGGTTTAGGTATGAAGACCGTATCTGTATGGATTTTTGAGATTTAGGAGATTTGTACAACCCCTTCTTTTCCCTATTTTTTTCAAAATATTTATGTTTAAAGTATCACCTGAACTTGTGATTGAATTAATCAGAGGTATGAACTAGATGTGAACAAATTTAGAAGAATGAGTTTCTACCCTCCAGGTACCCAAACTGAGGGTTTGTGTGTAAGTTGGGTGAATACCCCAGAAAGGGTGCTATATGATATTTATTTTCTTTGGTCTGAAAACTCTAGATTTTGGGCATGGCATTCCTGCAATTTTTCCCTTCGGGGTTTCTTTCAGGAGGTGGCCAATTAGATTCTTTCCATTTTTACTTTGCCCTCTGGTTCTTGTAGATCTGAGAAGTTTTCCCTTATGGTTTGAAATATGATAACCAGGTTTTTTATTTGGTCATGGTTTTCAGGGAGTCTGATTATTCTTAAATTATTTATCCTTGATCTGTTTTACAGGTTAGTTGTTTTTGATACTAGATACTTTCCCCCTCACTTTTTGCACTTTTTTTGTTGTAATATTTTATTCTAATATTTTTTGTTATCTCATAGATTGAGTTGTGATCTAATATATGTACCCATTCTGAATTTTTAGGAACCCATTACTTGGGTAAGGTGTTCTACCTTCTATTTTAACCTATTTAATCGTCTTTCAATTTTTTCTTCCAGTTCTCTGGTTTCATTTACAATTTCTTTTTTTTTTTTATCCTCTTGCTTCATTTTTCCTAGGTAGTAGTCACTATGACTAAGCCATTTTTTCCCTCTGAGGCTCTGTTTTTGGTTGTCATAGAATAAGTCTCTCCTTCTGTGGATGTTTCTTGGGCATCTCATAAGCTATAATATTCTTCATAGAGTTCAGTGTCTTCTGTCTACTCATATCTTCAGCCTCGAGCCTGACTTGGACCTCTGCACCAGGACCAATCTCCATCCCCTCCTATACTCTTGAATGGGATGGTCAGGCATTGTTTATACTCACTGACCTGTTTGTTACCTTGGCTCCTGCCATTTGCTTTTCTACCTTCTCTAGTCTATTTGTTCTGCGAGAGCTTGCATGTTTTAGGAAACCCTGGATTGTATAGGATTAGAATGCTTCAATCTTCAGAACCTTCTCAAACATCTTAGACCAGGTTGCTATGAACTTCCAGCCTGTCTGGAGAATCTTGGTCATAATGCTGCTAGCTCCCAGACTCACATCTGTGTTCAGAACATTACAATTTTCTGTAGAACAATCTGGAGTTATGCCCCCAAAGTTATGAAACTGTGTATACTCTGACCCAGCAATTAGGTCAGTTTCCCAATGTGATCAGGGAAAAAAGGACAAGAACCTATATGTTCCAAAATGTCTATAGCAAGCTCTCTTTGTGGTGGCAAAGAACTAGAAACTGAAGGGGTGCCCATCAATTGGGGAATGGCTAAACAAATTGTGGTGTATGATTATGATGGAATACTACTGTTCTATAAGAAATGATAAGCTAGTTGCTTTTAGAAAAACATGGAAAGATTTGCGTGAAATAATGAAGAGTGGAATGAGCAGAACCTAGAGAATGTTGTATACAGTAACAGCAATATTGTTCTAAGAACAACTGTAAACGACTATGTTATTCTGAGTATTATAAATACTCAAATTAGCCACAAAGGATCTAGGAAGGAAGATGCTAATCCACCTCTAGAGAAAGAATTGCTAAATAGAAGTATGTACAGTATGGTTTTACATATACATATACATACATGTGTATATATACATATATATAATGTGCATGTGTCAAATGGTGGCCTTTTCTAGTGCAGGGTGGGAGAGGGAGGGAGACAGTTTGAACTTAAAATGTAACCAAAAAATTCATAAAAATTTAAAAATAACATAATTTCCCATCCCCCTTGAGGTTTCTCATAAGGGCTCTGCTTCCTGCTCCCTTGCACAGAGTGCTGCCAGCTTTAGGGCCTCTGGAGTTTTCTCAGATCATGTTGCTTTCCCTGGTGGAAATGCCCCACAGACTACTTACTGGTTGTCTTTTTGTGTAGTACAGGGATGGACGAAGGCATTGTAGTTTTGCTTTGGATTCCTTGATCATTCTTCAGTCTGGGAAAGACTGAGTTCCTTGTGAATTTTCATAGTCACCTTAAGCAAAAGTCTTGATGAAAATGTTTATAAATAGTAAAGTACTTTATTACTGACAACTTTTATTAATATTATGGAAACATTAACAAGACTTTAGAGATTGATCAGATACGGGGGGGTGGATAAAAAAGAAGAGGGAATGACAAGTTTTTAGGATGAGGGACTAGGAGAAAGGCCTTATATGCTTTATTTATGTGAAGAGATACCAAAAAATTTCCCTAGCCTCACATATCAAGAAGAAGAATAACCCCTTCTCCCCAGAAAAATGAGTAGTCTTAGGTCAGCAGATATCTCTGGTGATGGGAACTCAAGATGACTCTGTCCTTTTCTGCTTTCCAGGGAGTGGTGACACTCTTCAGACTGCAGTAAGGTAAGAAAGTCAAGAGGGTGTACATAAAAGGGTAGTTCTGTGAATCTGAAGTGAGGCAGCGATGGGGAAGGGATAGAACACTGGTCTCAGAACTAGAAAGACCTGGGTTCAGGAACTGCTTCTGACATATGCTGGCTTTGTGATGCTGGACAAGTCACTTAACCTCTCAATGTTCTAGGTAACTCTAAAAGAATATAATTTACAGAAAAGTTATCAACTTACATTGGGGGAGGGAGTTTCCAATTCCAGACTTTCCCTATAGCAATGAAATCACAGTTCCAGTGTTTATCCTAGAATATGAAATCATTTCTCTGCTATATGAGATTATTTCCCTGTTACATAAAATTACCTACTCTAGTTCTCAAAGCTTATGACAACTTAGCCATTAACATGACTTTAATAATTTTATAATTTCTTGAATTACTTTAGTCATTGCATCTTATAGTTGTACATAGAGGCAATATTGTATAATAGGGGCAGCCAGGTGGCACAGTGGGTAGAGTGCTGGGCCTGGATTCAGGAAAATCTAAGTTCAAATCAAGCCTCACACTACCTTTGTGACCATGAACAAGTTACTTAACCTCTGTTTGCCTCCATTTCCTCACCTGTAAAAGTGATTGTGGGGATCAAATGAGATTATATTTGTTTGATAATATTTGCTTAGCAGTGGCTGACACTATATAAGTGTTAGCTATTATTAACTATTAGAGGGCCAGCTGTGAAGTGATGAAGACCTGTGTTCAAATACTGCCTATGACTCATGTTATGAGACCACAGGCTAGTTATTTAACCTCTTCGTGCCTGGGGCAACTCTCCCACAGTAGAATGTAAGCTCTTTCAGTAAAAGGACTCTCTCACTTTTTTCTTCATGTCTCTAGCACTTAACAAGAGCTTAATATATGGTTTTTCATTCATTCATTCATTGGGGAAGTTTCAATTAGGTGTTAATCATTCGGATACTCTTCTATTGATCTCTGAACCAGGTTGGAGGACTGTGTATACCCACAGCAATTAAAACCAGGCAAGAAGTAGGACTGGGGCAGCACTAAGGCACAGGAAGGACATAGTTACTATAGTTTTCTTCCTGCATTCTCTTTTCTCCTCTAATTTGTTCTTCACATTATTGTCAGATTAATTTCCCTGATGCACAGATCTGAGCATATTACTCCTCCATTCAAAACCCTCTGATATCTCCCTTTTGCCTACCACATAAATTTCCATTAGCCTGCCATTCATCACCTTCCATGGGTCTAACTACCATCCCTATGCAGATGATTACCAAATCCTAATAACTAGCTCCAGTTTGTCCCCTGAAATTTAGTTGCACAACTGCCTATTGGACATTTCACAATTAGATATCCCAGAGACATCTCAAATTTAACTTGTCTAAAACTGAATTGATTTTCCTTCAAAACTTCCCTTCTTCCAAATGTTCAAGGCTATTATTTCTATCAAAAGTACAACCACTCCCATAATGCCCCCTCTTTCTGATTTTAGCTTTGAAATCATATAAAATCCATCTGGGATGGCCAGGAAGCTGAAGACCAGTCATCACTGGCAGCTTTCTACCCCTTACCTTCTGTTGGCCATTCTCCACTTCCAGCCATAGGTTGCCCAGAACCCATCCAGGTTGCTTATTTGCTTACAATACTTGGAGTCACCAAATCTATTCCTTCCTCTAAGAAGAAGGACCACCAGTCCTTACCATTTGTCTCCTAATGCCCCCCAGACCTTCTCTCTAAGTCTTCTAGACCCCTAGCAGTATCATCTGAGCTACTGATATAACTTAAGGATCGCCAGGCCTGACCATCCACTTTGCCATTATACACTTTGACTTCTAGGTTTTTCCAGTAATGTGAACTCCCTGAAAGCCTCATTTTTCTTTTTTTTTTTTAAGTTATATTTTATTGTTTTCAATTAGCTAAAATCTGTCTTTTCCGTCCAAGGCAAGTGCCTATTCTCCCCCCAAATTGAGAATAAAAGAAAAACAAAAAACAAAATCCCTTTTACAAACATGTATATAGGTCAAGCAAAGCAAATTCCTTAATTGTCCCAGTCCAAAAAATATGTCTCTTTCTGCAGTCTGAGTCCTTCACCTCTGTATCAGGAAATGGGGACCAAATTTCATCATTGCTCCTCTGGAATCATGGTTGATCATTACTCTCATCAGAGTTTCTAATTCTTCTTGAATTTTTTAATCTTTGCCATAATGCTATCACTGTATAAATTGTTCTCTTGATTCGGTTCACTTCACTCTGCATCAGTTCACAGTTCACATAAGTTTTCCTAGGTTCCTCTGAAATCATCCCTTCCATCATTTTTTATAGCACAATTGTATTCCAAAACATTTATATGTCATCACTTGTTTAGCCATTCCCCAATTAACAGGTACCCCTTAGATTCTCATTCTTTACCTCCTCAAAAAGCACCATAAATATTTTGTATGACCTTAATAAGAGTTTATTTTGCCCAGGACTAATTCCTCCCTTAATCTACCTTCCCTCTAATGCTCCCTTCACCTTTCTCTCCTATCCCTCCTATTTCCCTGTTGAATGACATGTATTTCTGTACCCAACTCTATATATGTGTATGTATACATATTCTTCCCTCCTTTGACTGGTTCAGACAAGAGTAAACTTCATATGTCAGCTGCTCTTCCCCAACCTCCTCTTTGTTTTTGTAGATATTTGATTGCATACTCTACTTACGTGAGATAGTTTTCTCTAACTTTCCTTTCGTTTCCTCATACCCCTGTATATTCATTCCTTTTTCCCTCTCTTTCCATTTTTCTCCTAAGATCGTTAAGACTTATCAAAATTACTTCAAGCTTAATTAGACTTGATAATAATAAGATTCAGAGGGAACATGTGTATCATCTTTATCCTTGTTTAGTCCTTTGTCATTGTTCTTTCCTATTTATCTTTTCATCTGTGTTTGAACTTCAAAGTTTCTATGTAAGTTTCTAGACTCTTCATCAGGAATGTTTAGCAGTCCTCTATTTCATTAAAACTCTGTTCTCCTTTCCCTACCCCCACCATAGGATTACACTCAGTTTTTCTGGGTAAGTTAATCTTAACTATAAGCCTATTATATCCTTTGCTTTCTGTAATATTGAATTTCAAGCTCTTCACTTCTTCATAGTAGTGGGTGATAAATCATGTATGATTCTGACTGTGGCTCCTTGGTACTTGAATTCTTTCTTTCTGGATGCTTTTAGTCTTTTTTTCTTTGACCTAGGGTCTATGGATTTTGGCTATGATGCTACTGGGAGTTTTTACTTGGAAGTTTGTTTCAGAAGATCACCAGTTGATTCCTTCTATTTTCACTTTGCCTTCTAGTTCTTAGAGACCTTGGCAGTTTTCTTTTAAGATTTCTTGGAAATAGTATGCCTAGACTCTTATTTTTTTGTTTGAGAAAATATGGAAGGGGGTAAAGGGATTGGAGGTCATCAGGAGGGCTTAGAATAGGTTTAGAAGGAGTGAGACGCAGGGAGAAATGGCATGATGGTTGGTTACAGTAATACAGAGGAATGTCAGAGTTTCTAATTAAGGAAATGGAACACTTTTGAATCTCCAGGGACTAACCATTCCTATATGTGACTGACATGTAGAGAAGGAGCAGCTGATACAACTTAAAGGGATGAGGAATTGGAAGGTTAAGGAGTATGAGGGAGCTTCAGTGTGAATGTTGAAGTCCCTTAGTATAAAAGCAGGAGTTGGGAAGAAGAGGAAGATGGTAAGCTATGTAGGGGGCAGTACACAATAGCCACCATGATTTGAATAGAATGGAAAATAATTTTGACTGAGTGAACTTCAAAGGACGAGAAGTTACTGAGAGCATCTGAAAGTGGCAATGGGGATGTAGGAATATTCTAACTGCCCACTCCAGAACCACTGTGATGGGAGTTGGAGGAAAGTACAAGAAGAGATATGGCCATGGGTGGAGAAAATGGTTGGCTGCAGATGCATTGCTGTCAAAGAGCAGGTCTTAATGAGAGCTGGTAGACTGAAGGAATTTGAAGGGGAAAGATACAGGAGGAAGGGAAATTTGTTCATTATGGAATAGACAGTCCAGAGTGCATAGAGGAAGAGGTAGAATGGGTTGGTGTGATACAGGGGTATGATTGATGAGATGATAAAAGAACAGGAAGTAGAGGTCGGGGATAATCACCTATGTGATCAGTGATTAATATAGGAATAAGTAGAGAAATAGGAAGTGGAAATGTGTGAGCTATAGGAGTAGTAGCAAGTTGGACAGATGGAAAATAGTCAAGCTCATGATTCTTATGACATGATTCAGAGAGTACTAGTTTCAGAGAGGCCTGGATCTGAGTCACTCCAGGCCTGTTACTGTAGCTTCTCGTCTCTGGGATGGCTGGGGGAGGGCCAGGTTGGTGGGCAGAGGTTCCCCTGACTGGAAGAGGGCACTGATTGGCTGGGCCTTTTTTGATTCAGCTCTTGCTTGCTGCTGCAGCTTCTTCTCCTCTAAGGTTGCTAAATGACAGGCAGGGCAATAGGCAGTGGTCTCCTTCTTCGCCCCCCCCCTCCCACCCCTGAAAAAGTACCTCTCATAATAAACTTCTTTCTCTCAGATTCCTTCTATCTACTACACAACACACACATAAACGTGCGCACACATGTATCTATTTATTACTCAACAGCTTTCTTGACAATACAACAAAAAGTAAAGAAAGTGATAACATCAAGAAGGAGGAAAAAACCCTCGGTGAAGAATCAGTGATATTGAATGTTGATCCAGTGACTGTAATGGAACCTGAGAAGGAAACTGAGACTTGTGCCACCCAAACAGAGGAAGCATCTACACTGCTAGTTTCTCATAAAGCAGTACAGATCCCTGAAGAGACCAGTCTAAAAGCCCAAGACCCAGGTAGGTGATTTTCTTTAAATGTATTTAAATTCAAATTAAATATTTAATTGCATTTTAATCTTTTTTATCCCCCCTTCTCTCACTTTTATTCTATGTCATCTCAAAAAATATGAAACAATCCATGTAGCTTCCCTATCTCCTGAATCTTCAATCTTCCCTTTTCTACTGGATTCTTCCCTCCTCTACCGACAAACATGCTCAGATTTTCCCATCCTGAAAAAAATGCCCCCTTTGTGCCTCATCTGGAAGGCATTTATTTATTCAATCCAATTCAGTTAATTCAATTCACATTTGCTAAGTGGCTTCTGTGTGCAGATGATAGATGCTGAGGGAGATATGAAGTTTAGATAAGACATGGTACCTGCCTTCATGAAGATTACCGTCTAGTAGGGAGATTAGAATACAAACATAGCTAACTTTACATCAGTACTTCAAAAGAAACCGTTATCTCATTGTTTTGGTACTTCCTGTAATTGTGCAGATAGAAACATGTTCATGACTTTGAATCCTGACCAACTCTCATATTTGTCCTCTCTTCAATAGGGCTTCTACCCAATGCACTGAAGACCTTTTTCTTAAATCTTTTTTTTTTTTTGAGGCTATCAGGGTTAAGCATCTTGCCCAGAGCCACACAGCTCATATGTGTCTAAGGTCAGATTTAAACTCAGGTACTCCTGACTCCAGGGAATTTATTTATTTTATTTATTAAGCGGGAAGACCAGGGTTCTAGTCTTGCCTCTGATGCATATTGGCTGCGTGATCCTGGACAAATCACTTAGCCTCTTAGTTTTCTAGGTAGCTAAGATTATAAGTTGCCAAGAAAGCATGGATTTGTATTGGTCAAGGGAGTTTCTTCACCAGGGATTTCCCTATACTAGCGAATTTTCATGTCTAGTCCCTATCCCCTATTGGTATAATTTATTGACATCAAAAGAAATGCTACTTTTGGGCACCTCTAGCCAGAGGGGCTGAATCTCAGCAGCCCAAATCTTCCCTGCTAGACTGTTAGCACCTAGAAGTCAAGGATCATTAGTCAGTCAATAAACATTTATTAAGTGCCCACTATGTACCAGGTGGTACTCTGTTAAGTTCTAAGAATAAGAAAAGGGCAAAAGACAGTCCATGCCCTCAAGGAGCTTACAATCTAGTTGGGGAGACAATAAGCAAACAAATATGTACAAACAAGGTATGTGCAGGATAAATAAGAGATAATTAAAAGAGGGAAGGAGCTAGAATTAAGAGGTTGGGAAAAGCTTCCTGTAAAAGTTGGGATTTTGAGTAGACTTAAAGGAAACCAGGGAATGCAGGAATCAGAGATGAGGAGGGAAAACATTCCAGGCATGAGGGTCAGTGAGAGAAATTGTCTGGAGCCAAGAATGGGAGTGTCCTCTTCATGGAACAGCAAGGAGGCCAGTATCACTGGATCAAATGGTAAATGGGGAGAAGTAAGAAGTCTGGAAAGGAAGGGAAGGGGGAGAGGGTATGTTATGAAAGGCTTTGAATGCCAGAGTATTTTGCATTTCATCCTGAAGGTGATTGGGAGCCATGGCAATTTATTGAGTATAGAGGTGACATAGTCAGACCTGTGCTTTAAGAAAATCATTTTGGGGGGCAAGTAGGTAGCAAAGTGGATAGAGCACTGGCCCTGAAGTCCAGCCCCAGACCCAACACTTGACACTTACTAGCTGTGTGACCTTGGGCAAGTCACTTAACCCCAATTGCCTAAAAAAAAATCATTTTGGTAGCTGAATAAAGAATGGATTGGAGTGGGGAAAAACTTGAGGCAGGCAGTCTACTCTCATTTCTCTTCCCAGTTTTTCCTCTACTTCTCTTACTTACTTCTCAAAATCCTTTTTGAGCTCTTCCATGGCCTGAGATCAATTCATATTTTTCTTGGACGCTTGGATGTAGGAGCTTTGACTTTGTTGTCATCTTCTGGTTGTATGTTTTGATCTTCTTTGTCACCAAAGTAAGATTCTATAGTCTGAGTTTTTTCTTCTGTTTGCTCATGTGCCTAGCCAATTACTTGAGTTTTAAACTCTTTGTTAGGGTAGGGTCTGCTTCTAGTGTGGAGAACGTAATGTCCTAAGCTTCAGGGGTGTTGTGCAGCTGTTTTCAGAGATACTTCTAGGGACCTGTAAATTTTCAGTTCTTCCAAGGTGGTATGATCAAAGGCAAGGAGTTTACTCCTTTCCTAGCCTGTGCTCTGGTCTGTGATTGACCACAAGCTCTCTTTTCTGCCTTGGAACTGTGAGGAGGATTCACTTTCCATCACCACCACAAGCTCCACCACACCAGCGCTCCTCCTTGCCCCAGGACCACCAACCAAAACTGCGATCCATATCCAAGCACAGGCAAAGCAAGAGAATCCTGCCTTAGCACCAGCAAAGAGATCCCTGCAATTCCCCTCTGATCAGCCACTCTATTCCCCCTCGGTCTGTGGGCCAAGAGCTCCTGAAGCAGCCACCACCCCTGGGCTGTGCTGGGACTGGGGCCAGACCGAGCTCCTCTCTCACCAAGGTCAGACAGACTTTTCCTACTGACCTTCTAAGTTGTCTTTGGTGTTTGTGCGTTGAGAAGTCTGGAAACCGCCACAGCTCCCCTTGATTCAATCCCTGGAAGACTGTTCTAGGTTTGCTGAGGCCTGGTCTTTGCCTGTATGGTGCACACTGAACTGTGCTCCTCTCCCAGCCCAGTGCAACAGACTTTCCCAATCAACCATCCAGATTGTCTTAGACTGGAAATTTGTTTCACTCTGTCTTTTTGTGGGTTGTGCTGCTCTAGAATTTGTTTAGAGCCATATTTTACAGGTATTTGGGGAGGTTTGGGGGACAGGTCAAGCAGGTCACTGCTTTTACTCTGCCATCTTGGCTCTGCCCCAAGGCAGGCAGTCCAACCAGAAGGCTATTGCAATAGTCCAAGTTTGAGGTGATGAGGATCTGCACCAGAGTGGTGACAGTATCAGAGGAGAGAAGGGGGCACATAGGAAAGATGTTGTAATAGATTGGATATGAGGTGTGAGAGAGACTGAAGAGTTGAGGATGGGAGCCAATGGGATTGGGAGGGTGGTGGTGCCCTCAATAATAATAAGGAAATTTGGATTGGGGGAGGGTTTAAAGGGACAGATAACAAGTTCAGTTTTAGACATGTTGAGTTGTCAACCAAATATCCAGTCTGGGACGTCTGAAAAGCAGCTGGAGATGTGAAACTGGAGGTCAGCATAAAGATGAGGCAGGATAGATAGAGCTGAAAAATCATCAGCATAAAAATAATAATTAAATTCATGAGAGCTGATGAGATTAACAAGTAAAGTAGTATAGAAAGAGAAGAGAAGAGGGCTCAGGGCAAAGCCCTATGGGACACCCATTATTAGTTGGTATAACCCGATGAAAATCCAGCAAAGGAGAGAGAGAAGGTAGGAGGAAATCCAGGGGAGAGTGATGTCCCAAAAACCTAGAGAGAAGACAGTATCTGGGAGAAGAGAGTGATCAGCAGTGTCAAAGGCTACAAGAGGCCAAGAAGAATGAAGATTGAGAAAAGGCCATTGGATTTGGCAAAACAAAGATCATTGCTAACTTTGGACATGGCAGTTCCAGTAGAATGATGAAGTTGAAAGCCAGACTTTAAGGAATTGAGTTTGTCAATGGCCTTCTCAAGGAGTTTAGCCACAAAGGGCACAAAGGAGATAAGATGCGGATAGAAGGATCAAGCGAGGATTTTTGAAGATGGGGAGAAATGAATATATTTGTAATCAGTGTGGAAGGAAGCTGTAGATAGGGAGAGATTTAAGAAAAGTGAAAGAGTGGGGAAGACAGAGGGGCAATCTGTTGGAGAGAGCAGGATGAAATACATGTAAAGCATTTTGCACATTTTAAAGTGCTCTGCAAATGCCAGTTATTTATATTCTAGGGACATTTCCTACACATAGAATCCTGTCCTTGATGTTTGGATTTTCATTAGCTTCAAACCTCTTCCTCATCCTTACAGATTCAGAAAATCTGAGTTGGAAGAGAACTTCCAGGGTAGCCAATGAGCCTGATGTAACACTCAGTAGAGTATTACATTTGGATTCAGGAAGATGTAGGTTCAGATGCAAATCCAGACACTTACTGTATGACTTAGGGCAGATCACTTAATCTCTCTATGTCTCAGTTTCTTGATCTCTTAAAATGAGGATAATAAACACTTATCTCGTAGGGTAGTTGTGAAGCTGGAAGGAGATTAATGTATGTAAAATGCTTTGAAACATTAAAGCATTGTGTAAATATCAGCTATTAATATTATTCATTATTAATATTTCTCACAGCCAATATCAACATTCCTGACAAAGTGTTATTGCTAAGGTTGTCTGTACCTAGATTTTGAGCTCCCTTTTACTTTTGGAACTACACCACTTCGTCCTCAGAAGACATATCTCGAATTTCAAAAGAAGTTACTTATTACCTTTACCCAATGGGGTGACAAAATGTTTTAAGTAAGCAGGGAATCAGGAGGCATGATGATGCAATGAGGAGAGCACTGGATTTGGAATGAAAATACCTAGGTTCAAAGCCTTTCTCCACTACTAATTGCAATCTTGGGCAGCCTCACCTCTCTGGTCCTCAATTTTCTCATCTATAAAAAGAATATATTGAACCAGATGACCAATAAAATTCCTTCCAGCTCTAGATCTGTGGTTCTATGGTCCACTCAGCCCACTGTTGTAATAACTGAAACTTCAATGATTACACACTTTGCTCAAAAGCACCATCACTTTTATACTTTCTCCTCATAATATAAACAGTAAGCCTCTTGCATTTTGTTACGCCTTCCTCAATCAGTTTCTTCATCTGTAAACTGAGAAGGTTGGCCTGGATGGCCTTTTTGCTCCACACTAAGCTTGATCAGTATTTCCAGTTTTCCACCCTAGCTAGCACCACAGTCCCTATCTCATGAGATTTTTCATAATGACCTCATTTGTTTCTTGTACCTTCCAGGAAATGAATTACAAAGCCCAGATCCCTTTTGGTTTTTTGCAAACATAAGGTAAGTGTGCCTTTGGCTTATTTGTCTCAAGCCTTGGTAAACTATAGCAGTGCAGATGGGTGGAAAGGCTTCTCTGAGAACAATCCAGAATTTTTTCATCCTGGAGTCATCCCACTGATGCTTTTCCAGTAAAACTTGATCTGCTCATTTTTCAAGTCACACAAAACTCTTCAAACTTAGCAATTCACTTTATTGAATTAAATTGAATTTGTTGAATTATTGCAACAATTTCTGTAGAGGGAGACAGCAAGGAAAGTGCACCTGACTGAGTTCTAGTTTGGCTTCTCCTTCCTGCTATATGTTCCTAGACTCTCGTCCTCTCTAAACTTCAGCTTTCTCAGCTGTACAAGTGAGGTGAAGAAAGAAGAAAAGGGATTAGATTATTGCTAAGATCTCTTCCAGTGGGCCATATGCAGGAATTTTGTTCTAATGAAGTAATCGCTTATGGAGCATATAAAAATAGAAGTGGAGTGAGAGAACTAGCAAGAAGAAGGTGCAGCTTTGGCCTGGGCGTGACCAAATGAGACCATGCTCTCAAATGCCCTGTGTAGTTACAAACCCACTTCCAACTCAAACATGGTATAATTACATGTTAATATTGCACAGTGTGCATGGATATTGATGGTATTAGTTGATGTCCTATTTCAACTAGATTTCTAGATACACTCCCATAATTCTTTTTATTCAAGTACTTATATCTATTTCCTCTGAGCTTTGCCATCATTTTAATCTTATTTAATAGAAGCAGGCATGCCCTTTGTTTTTGTTAGTAATTTTGGAATTTTGGAGTTGGAAGGGATCTTAAACATAAATCTAAACTCTCTGGAAGAGCTAGTACATTGTAGATGGAAAAAAAAAACCCAATAGAGCTAGAGTCAGAACACTTGACTTTGAGTTCCAGCTCCAACATTTAATAGCTGTGTGATCTTGGGCAAGTTACTTTTCCCTTAGCCTCAATATCCTCATTTGCAAAAGTATTTGCACTACATATCTCATGAGGTTGTAAGAAACAACTTTGAAAAACATGAACACTATATAAATATGAATTGTTAATAAGTATTAATAAAAAAATAATAAATCTCTATTTTTTCATCAATATTGTCTGCTCCAAAGGCATTAGGTCCAGATTCTTTTTTTTTGCTTCCCAAACTATCAACAGGATAATTCATGATTCAGATATGCCTAATTATTGTTATCAATTTGTTTACCAGTGGTCTGATAGAGAAGGAAGAACAATGTAAGCGAAAGCAGGAAGAGAAAAAACAATTCAAACTGGAAAAGAAGAAATTGGAGAAGATGGAAAAAATCAAGGAAAAGGAGAATGAAAAGAAACAGAATGAAGGAAGAGTGAAGAAAGAAAGAGAGGAGAAAGAAGAGAGAGCAATGGGAGAGAAAGATACAAGAAAGGATGAAAAGCATAAAAAGGAAAAAGAAGAAAAAGCAAAGAAAGAAAAAGTGCGAGAGAAGAAAGAAAGTTTAAAGAAAGAAAAACATAAAAAAGAGAAAGGAAAGAGGATGAAAAAAGAAAAAAGCAAAGATGAAAAAGAAGAAAAAAAGAAAAATATAGAAAACTCAGAAGAGGAAAGAGAAGACAAAAGGAAGATGATTGAGGCAGAGAGAATAGCTTTGCAAAAGCGACTCCAGCTGAAGGGAAGAATGAAAGGGATGAAGAACAGTGAAGTGTGGTGGCCCAAGGAGAAAAAGTTGATTGGGAAGATAGCAATTCAGAACTTTGTACAACTTTTGCCAAGTTCCTCTACCATCCTCAAGAGCCCAGGTACTATTTCCCCCCCCCCTTCTCTATTTTACCTGACTGAGTCAATATAAAAGGAAGGAGGGATGAAGGAAGGGACAATGAATGGTACAGTGGAGGGCGCTGACCTGGGAAACAGGAAACATGGGTTCTGGTCCCAACTCTGCAAATAACTAGTTCCTTAAATTTGGACATCACCCTTTTTAAACTTCAGTTTCTCCCCTCTGTCAAATGAGAGAGCTGAATTAGATTTCTTAAGGTCCCTTCTACCCTTAATGTTGTATGAGCCTTCCCTACCCTTAGGTTGTTAAGAGATGGAATGACATGGGTATAGATTGTATAGGGAATTCTGCCTTCAGGTTTAATGAGCTCTTGGGTCTCTCTTATTTCTGAGATTTTGCGATTCTATCTAAAACCTTATGAATTAAATTGGAAACACAAAGTTTCAGTTTGGAATAGTAATCTACCCTGGTCTACACAGGTCCTAGAAAGAAAACATATCTATATTTCAGTTGTCTGGGAAAGAACTGTGCCACATTATTACTTCCAGCTCACTTTTGGTTTTCTAGTAAGGTACAAAAAGTGAAAGCTTTGTCATTATGCCTCTATTCCAAGATGATGAATAGATATGTCTTTCCTCTTTTGAAGCCACTCATTTGTGGTTGGCTTACCTCTCTATGAGTCCAATTTCTGAGTTCTGTGATAGCTTCATTTGTTAGACTTCTGAAGGCTTATGAAGCTACACTTTCTGGACTTCTACACTCATATGTCTACATGTCTACACTAGGCTATTTCCAGCCCTTGCCCTGTTAATCCAGTGACTGGACATACGTGTCCCCTACAGTGTTGTTTTTAGGGAAGTGGGGATAGCCCTGCCTCAGGATGTCACACTATATACTATCATTCCATTCCCCGTCCCTCCTCCCCACCCCCACAACCCTTTCTATTCTAATAAAATTTAGTTAAGCAACTCTCCAGGGAAAAAGTCATAAAGGAGAGGGTAGTGTGAAGCCTGAGAGAAGTTTGGGGGAAGAAGGAGGAAGGCCAGTTTAGCTTCTTTACTAGGTTCATGGTAGGTGGGACTTAAGCTAAAGGCATATATATGAGCTTAAAATCCTTTCTAATACCACCTGGCTGAATCATCTAACAGAATTGCAGGAAACTCAGCAGGCATTTAATCCAACTCATACCCCAAAAGAATCCCCACTGTAACATACCCCCAAAGAGGTCATCTAGCCTCTGGATGAAAACCACCAAGTGACCCAAACCCTCCTGAAGAGAGTGCATTCCATTTTTACATGCCTCTAATCATTAAAGGAGTTTTTACTGACATCAAGTCTAAATTTGTCTCTTTATAATTACCACTTTGCCAGCCTTGCTTCTGGTTGTACCTTCTGGGACCAAACTGAGAAAGTCTAGTCTCTCCTCCCTTGCAACCCTTCAAATACTTGAAGATAGCTAACCACCTCAAGTCTTCTCTTCTCCAAGCTAAATATGTCCAGTCCCTATTCTAATAAGACATGGATGAAAGGCACCATTTTTGTTGCCCTCATCTGGGCATTCATCAGCTTATCAATGTTCTTCTTAAACTGGTGCTCAGAGCTGAGCTCAACAATCCAGACGAGGTCTCACCGGGCAGGGCACTATCACCTCCCTATTTCTGGAAGTTATGCTCCTTGAGGGCAGCCCAAAATTGAATTAGCTTTTTTGGTTGCCACATCACACTGCTGACACATTTGAGTCTATCTATTAAAGTCCATATTGAATCCAAGGCATTAAAATCCCCGGGTCTTTTTTCAGAATGACTGCCACCTATCCATGTCTCTGCCGTTTTATACTTGGGAAATTGATTTTTTTTTAAACCTAAGTGTAACACTTTACACTCATCAATATTGAATTTAATCTTATTAGATGTAGCCCGTTGCTCCTGACTCTAAAGATCCTTTTTGTTTCCTGTCATCCATTCTGTTTGCTGTCCTTCCAATTCACAAATTGAATGACCTTGTCATCAGTGCTTTTCTTTCTTCAAGTTACTGATCAAAATGATAAAAAGCTCAGTAGTATTCCACTAGAGAACTAGTGCCCTGTTTCCATTCAACCATTAACCACTCACTCCTCTTTGATCTGGTTATTTGATCAGTTCTGAATCTACCTAACTGTGTTCTTGTCTAACCTGGATGGCTCTCTATCTTCTCCACGAGAAAAGTATGAGATATTTTTTTTAAAAATTTGCTAAAAGCTAGGTAAAATACATCCACAGCGACTAGTTTAGTAATCCTGTCAAGAAATGAAATGAGGTTAGTTTGGCATGACCTGTTCTGGATGAAGTCATGCTGATTCTTAGTAATCACTACTTCCCTTTATGTGCCCACCATCACTTTTTTGATCATTCTGAGATTTTCAGTGGAATTTAAGTCAAGCTCACAGGCCTATAGTCTCTAGTCTTCTCTTCTGAAAATAAGGACAATGTTTACCTTTCTGTGCTCTTGTTTTCCCATGATCTTTCAGATATCACTGGCAGTAGCCCAACAATTGTATGTATTGTTTATTCTAAAACTTAAGAATATAATTTATCTGGGCCAGGTGAATTGAATTCATTAAGGGCAGTCAGATACTCCCTTATTGTCTCTTTAGTTATCTTGACTATTATCTCCCTGTTTTAGTTATCCTTGTTCCTTTAATAGATGAGGATCATGGGATTGGATTTAGAGACGGAAGGAAGTCATGAAGGTCAAACCCCTGATTTTGTAGATGAGGAAACTGGGGCCCAGAGAGCATAAATGAGTTGCCTGAGGTCACATAGCTAAGTGGGTGTCTGAGGTAGGTTTTGAACTCAGGTCTTCCTGACCTAAAGTACAGTACTACCCCTGCCTGCCCTGCCCTTTTACATAGAAAGCAAACAAAACCGAGAGAAATTGAATGACTTGCTAAAAGTCAGATGGGGTGTTTGAGAGATTTCTCTCCAAATTTCCAGTCCTCTTATCAACATCTCCGGTTAGAGGAGTGAAAGAATACAGTACTTACTCTATATTTTTACCTTTTAGACATAGAAGACCACGTCAACAGGCCAAAAAAGAGACACATGGACCTTCAGGAACATCTGGACCAGAAGTAAGATTTTTTTTTCTCTGTTATCCACATTGTTGTGTATTTGACTTAAGGCCACATATACATTTTGTATGTACCTATCAGGCATACTTGGAAAGTCATCTAGACTAGGAGTCAGGAGACCTATCTCTACAAGTGTCGATGTGATCTTGTCAAAGAACTTTACTTTTCTGAGCCTCAGTTTCCCATGTGTGAAACAACAAACAAACAAAAAACCAGAGTTAGACTAGATGTATTTTACCCTCTATTCTGGTTCACATTAACATCTGCTTTGCCACTGCATCCTAAGGACCATGGACTTTTCCATCTGACCTGCAACTGAAACCTGTGTGTGTTGTCCCCTCTCATGAGAATATGAGCTCCTTGAGATCAGTCTGTCTAACTTTTCTATTTGTATCCCCAAAGCTTAGCACATAGTAAATGCTTAATAAATCCTCCTATGATACCTTGATATCTAAAACATCAGCCAGCAACTAAATCAAATAGGTTGTTTATTGTCATGTTATCTAGATAACTGGGGTTTTGGGGGGGTTTTGTGTGTTTTTTTTAGAGGAGGGACTAGGCAATGGGGTTAAGTGACCTGCCCAAGGTCACACAGCTAGTAAGTGTTACGTGTCTAAGGCCAGATCTGAACTCAGGTCCTCCTGAATCCAGGGCTGGTGCTCTATCTACTGCTCCACCTAGCTGCTGTAGATAACTGTTAAGACTGTTTTTTGAGCTGATTGAAGTGATAAACAAAATGAACATCCTACCAAATTCATGGGCAATTCCTTCCTTTCCAAGACTCATGAGTATTGTTCACCAAAATCATTCATTCAATAAACATTTAGCAAATGCCTACAATGTGCTTGGCACTGTTCTAGGCCTTGTGAGAAATACAAAGATTAGTCGGACAAGATCCTTGACTTTGCCTGGAATTTATTGGCTAATCATTGTGATAAGGTATTATAACTATAATAGATGGAATAGAGAAGCAGACTAAAATGTACTAAGTGCTAGGGGAGTTGGGGGAGGGGGGCAGATTACTTCTGGAGAAGGATAAGAAATAAGGAAAGGCTCCATGGAGGAGGTCATAATTTAACTCCTTGAGGGACTCATATAACTCCTTTGGGACTTTGGTAGGAAGGACAAAAAGCATTCCAGCTAGAAAAACTGACATAAGCAAGAATGGAGAATACAGGAAAGTTGGGGATGTATTGGGTATTGACTGGGGTATGTTTCCATTCAACAAATGTTTTATTAAGCGCCCATTGTAAATTTCTAGCACTGTGCTAAGTGCTGGGGATTCACAAATGAAAGGCAATACAGTTCCTGTTTGTAAGGAACTTCTAACTTAGTAGAGGGGGATATATACCAATAACTATAATACAAGTTTAAACATGATTAAGGGGGCAGGCATAATTCAAACCCAGGTCTTCCTGACTTCAGGTTCAGGCCCCACTATGCCCCCATGCTCCTTTATTTAGGCAATGGTAAACTAACGAATGTTTCGAGCAGAGGAATGCTAGGATAGACCAGCGCGCTAGGAAGTGCATTAACTACTTAGGTAGTAGTCAATGCAAGGATGGATAGGAAATGGGAAAGACTCATGACAAAGAGGTCATTGGAGGCTATACTTATAATAGTTTAGGTGAGAGGTGATCAGAGCCCAAAGCATGGTGGTAGCAATGGAGATAGTATAGATGGGTATTAAAGATGTTGGCAAAGGTAAAATTGATAAGACCTGGCAACTGACTGGTTGTGTGTGATATAAGAGAAGGAAAAGTCAAAGATGATTTCAAGCCCGGGTAATTGGGAGAATGGTGGTGCCATCCACAGACATAGAGAAATTATGAAAAAGAGCAAATTTGGGGGGAGAGATGATGAGTGAACTTTGCACATACTAAATTTGAGATGAGGGGCATCTAGGAGTCAACAGTTGGGAAAATGGGACATGCAAGATGAGACAAAGGTAGATTAGGGACAAATCGTGAAGGGCCTTACATGTTAGATGTACTATTTAAAGTGGGAATAAACTTTAGTGTTGACCTTATCACATAGACAAGTCAGGGGTCTTTGAACCAACTTATTCATTTGTCCCACAGATTTGTGGGGCAGAAGGGGAAAGCAAATAGAAAGGAAAGAAAATGCAAGGGAAGAGGTAATGTCAGCAATCCAGAAGAGGAAGACCAAGCTGAGAAGGACAAAATTAAAAGAATAGACAAGAAACAGAAATTAGGGATTGTCAAAGTTCTAAGAAGGAGAAGCATTTGTTTCCAAAAGATGACACTTGGAGACCTGCACCCACTCTATACCCCACGCCCCTGCAGAATCTATCTGCTCACACTTGAAGGCACCCACACAGAGACAGCCACTATCACCAATGGTAACTCTTTTCTTTTTTAAACATTTCCTTTTTTCATCCCTTTTTTGTTTCTGGTCTGTGGGTTACAGAAGAAAGAACTAGGACTGGAGAGTTATGGGGAAGCAAATTTTGCCTCAGTATGAGAACGAAATTCCTAACAATTAGAGCTGTTGAACAATGGAAAATGTTGCTTTTAAGGTGGTAGAAACTCATCACTGAATGCACTTAAAAAGGAGTTTGATGATTACTTTGTTGATGTCATATGGAAATAGCCAAGGATTTGTCAATAGATATTGCCGCCAATCATACTTATCAGTGCTCAGAGACATTTTATTAACTGGTTTTATTTTATGCTCAGAGCACAGACACTTTTTATCTAAATGACCATTGAGCACCAGATAGAATTTTTCCTAAGACTTATATAGTCTCTAAATTCATCATCATAAAAAAAGGGGAGGGGGAACAATTAGATTTTACAGCTGCCAAAAGAGAAAGGGAAAGATTTACATTTTAAGGATAATTTTGTAAAATGTAATAGATGTGTGGTGAATGAATACATGAATGAATGACAGAATGAATTAGCCATACTAGAGCCAAATGGAAAGGAAATTAAAAATGCTTATGACACTAGGAATGGGGTTCCTGCATTGAACTAGGGGTTGGACTAAGGACTTCTAGGGTCCCTCTTAATTTTGAGATTCTGTAAGCCTATGCCTTACTGTATTCCTGCAACAATATCCTGCTTTCATTCACTCTCCCACATTCTCTCCATCCACTAGCTGTGTGACCATAGATCTATTTTACCTCTCTGGACCCAAATTTCTTCATGAAAAATATAAGATTAAGTGATCTCTAAAGTCCCTTTTCTAGCTCCTGTATTTTCTATATATCCTTCAAAACTGTCTTCAAATGGTTTACTTGAATGGTTCAAATCAATTCTCACAAATTTGGTCCATGTAATGTCAAATAGCCAATTTATTTTGCCCTCTGGTTGTTCAGTTTCCTCCCTCAGTGTTTCTCATGAGTCTCCCACTCTACATGTTATTCTACATGTAATTTATTCTGTTATTCATACATGTATGCATTCACCACACATTTTTAAGTGCCTATGTGTTCTATATGCAAGACATTATGCTAGGGGACTTCCTTTCCTTCTTGCCTCACACTATTTTTGTATAATTTGTAACTTAAATTAATAATAACATATATGTACATATATATATGTAACTCTTTAAAGTTTACCGTTTCTCTACAAGATCTTGTGAGGTATAGGGATTATAGATACTACTATCTCCCATTTTTACAGACAAGGAAACAAACTCAGAGAAGTTGTGACCCTGACATTTTAACTTTAATTAATTAACAACAATTCAACCAACAAATATTTATTATTCAAGTCCAGGGCTCTTTGATAAATAATTTCCCCCAGATTCAAAAGAAATCCTCAGATTCTTGGAAAGGACTCAAGTTCCTCAATTCAAGGAGAATTTCCTTCAAATTGGTATTTTTGTTCCTCACCATTGCATTCACCAGGCGTATCCATCTTTTTGGAGGAGGACACAGGTATGGTTTTATTCTTCCTTTTTTCTTTCAGGAGATAGACAGTACAGTCTTGACCCAGAGGAGAGAGAGAAAGTCATTCTTGAAGGGAAGTAAGAGGTTTTACCTTTTTGTTGTTTCCCCAATGTTAGATTTTGGTGGGACAAAGGAATTCTTAGAGAAAAGTGAAACTTCTCTTCCTGAAAGCTGTTGTAGTCAATTGCTGTCCCTGCATATGCATTCTGTAGTCACAAATATTGCTCTGAATTATCCCTTTCACAATAGGAACAATTGCGTCACCTTAGCTGAGGGATGATATATTTGGGAAGAGGAAGAGAGGAGAAGAAAATGAAACCTCTGGGACAGGGACTGCCTCTGTTTTGAGGGATGAAGAAATAATATCAATCTTAGTTAACCCCTGTCCCCAACATTACTTCTGTTTGGGTAATAGGGTGGAAAAATTCTCAGGGTTCTTTTACTCTCTTTATCTAGACTGATGACACAGCTTGTGCAAAAGGGCAAGGTAAGTGGGATTCTCTTGAATACTAGTACCCTTCCATAATTCAGTGCCCTGTGTAGAGGAAATGCTTAATAAATATCTGTTCCGTCAGATTAACCACCGAATAGGTACTTTTACCAATCAAGTATAGGTGCAGAGGAGAAGTGTCTGCAGGTGGTAGAGGGTTGGTCCTGGGGTCAAGAAGAACAGAATTCAACTCCTCTCTCTGACCCAAGAGTGAGTCAAGTAACTTTCAGTGCCTCCAGGCAGTCCTCTAAATTGTGGCTGACTTACAGATCATTAATAGCAGCATGGACACTATGATAGGTCCAGACTGAAGGAAAAGGTAGCAGATTTGACACTGTGCATTATCCATCTCCCAGAATTGAAGGGAGGATCAAATGAGAACAGAAATGCTTTTTAATCAAGTACCAAAGAAGTGTGTTGTTGTTGTTGTTACAAATAATAATAGGTGTTCTTTTTGTCGATATTGTGAGGTAGGGTAATTTTTTTCCCTTATACAAATTTTGTGGAAAAACATTTAATTCAATTCAGTAAGCATTAATTAGCTGCCTACTTTGGGGTAAGTACTGGTGATATAAAAATTTTAAAAATGGAGATCCTA